CAATCGAGCAGTTCACATATTTCCAGAAATTTAAATTTTTCACTCAAATCATATTAATCTTATGCCCAAATGAAAGATGTCATTTACTCGTTGTCATTGGATACTCTGAGCAATGCATATTTGATTTATAGTTAATAATTGGGAGAGCGAGCGTTTTTTCTATTTTGTCGCTTATAAGCGACAAAGTGACATTCCTCGAAAAAGATGACGTTTGTGTTGTCAAATACGAGCGCAAATGCCTACTTTGGATATCGATTGTAGAAAAAATTAAAAGACGTAGACAAACGCTATAAACGCACAGAAGATCGCTGCTTGAACCGCCAAACAGGATAATGACGTCACGCGCTCTGATTGGCGTTTGATATCACATGACAAATGTCGTTATTTTTTAATTTTATTTTTACTAAAATATAATAATTTCTGGTGTACATTACCAAATAAAGTTATTTTGCGATACCCTGGCACCTTACTCTATCTTATGAAACAGAAATTTGTTTATTCTTTTTCCTCTGTCATGTACCCTATTGTAACGATAATTCAATGCGATTATTCAATGACATTTGTCAAACTTCCACCAGTGAAATGACGCGAAATTTTGTCGTATTAACCGGAACATTCCTCTTAGTTTGTTAATCAATTTCGACAACCGACTTATCACCGCATCTTTTAATTTAATCACTCATAACGAATTAGCTTGGAGCACAAAAGTTCGAATAGAATCAATAGCAAAATGAAAAGCAACTTCCATAATTATGCTTAATTTTTCTTTTGATTCATTGAATAGTCCTCCGAATACCATTCGTAGTCGAAGTATTTGTAGATTATTTTTGAGCTGCACAGCTGCTGCTCCACTCATGCTAGTTACGTAACTAGCGTAACTAGCATTCGTGACAGCACCTCAAAAATATTCGACAATACTTCGACTACTTATGGTATTATATATGAAAATATGGTCAAGGACATCGCCTGGGTATGTCAGTTTCAGGGCAAACGAGCTTGTCCGAAGTTGTCCGATTAGATACGATGTGAGACTGTCAACCTATAAATTAACAAACGTCAATTAATTTATCCCCTATACTCTGTTTTTTAACTAGGAAGACGGATTTAAAAGTTCCCGCAAAAAATCTTAGTTTCTATTGGCTCGCGCTGCGCCCGTTTTACACCCAGGTAAAATAGCTATTGACATGATTTAACTGTCAAATTAATCGCGATTCTCGTTGTACTTATTTTTGAATTTTTGTGTGCTCTTATTTCCATTTGCATAAATTTTAACAAAAAAAAAACAGTCCTTTTAAGAACTAAAGTTGATATTTCGTGTCCTAAGTGTACCTACTGGCATTAATGATCGATTCAACTCCAAGTACCAGTAAAGCAAGCTTGTCTCCTTTGAAAAAACGTAGCCGCTTTAACTTGGGTCACTTATCAGTCCTCGAGAAGCAGTTTATTATAAACAAATGTCTGATACTCCGGATATGAATTTTGCTACGCTTGTGTTCAAGATTGCATCTACCACAGGTAACGTAAATAATGATGTAGGCATATATTTGGTTATTAAAGTATGACACATATTAGGATTTGCACGATCTACAGTATACCGGATAATTAAAGAATATCGAAGTACTGGGATTGTTACCCCTTCGAAATGTTCCGGTGGTCATAACGCTGTTGCAAATGTGAGCTCTGACGATTGGCGGAATTGTGTGCAACACGTTATTAAGGAAGAAAATAAGATGTGTTGATTGGATGGCATAATGGATACACTTATAGAACCATTAATTGTTTTGGATCGGATTGACTCGGATCGGAAGACAGTGACAGTTTTGGTGAACTTTCGGAAGACAGTGTCTAAATCGCTTATACCATTGAATAAAAACACTATAAGAAGCCTAACCCCGTGGAAATAAAGCGCGACAGAGATTGAACTGAGAATATAATGGAAACACTGTCAATAGTGTCGATTCTTGAACTGAGAAGAATGAGAATTTGCTTTCCTCCTATTTACCGCAATGAGAGTTCGGTGATCACAACCAATGCGGGTGCAAGGGGATTTGTCGCGCTTTCTTCCATAAGCGTTAGGCTTCTTATAGTGTTTTTATTCAATGCTTATACATAAAACAGTGAACTGTGCTGTTTAATAATATGAATATAATTCCATTGCTCTGAATTTGTTCAATAACTTAACATTTGTTGTAAATTGTAATGGGGATTGTGTAGTATTACAACTGATAAAACATTTAAAACTACCATTCAAAATAATGTTTCAAAGGCCAAAAAATGTATGCATGATTATTACATATTATCAATGTATTACCTATTTATTATAATTCGCTTTTAAAAGTATGGTGTATGCATAATATAAAGGAGTTCCTATCAAATATAACTCAAAAGCATAAATAATGAAATCTATCCAAATGTGAAAAAAAAGCACATCACGCAACCCACAATACATGTCTGTATAAAATGAGTCTATTATTTTTGTTACTAGATTCTAGTGACATTTTCAGTGTAAATCAGGTTTTTAAATCCGTCTTCCTAGTTAAAAAACAGAGTATAGATATGCAAAAAAAGCAAAACTATTCTTATTTGTGGACGTATACAAGATAATCAAGAGTATTTAAAGCTTCCCGTACTACGCGGTTACCATAAAAGCTACTCTTTACGCGATCCGAGTGGTGTTCATACGACTTTAGTTTACCCTCAGATTCACATACCCACGACTACAGTACCCTCTATCCGTGACCACCCATTTTGTATTGAAAGCATAGGGCTAATAGCAGTCCATGTACTATATGGTCTAAGGTTTGCACTGACAAATTTAAGCGGAGCTTAGCTTAAGCGTAGTTTAAAATCCATAGCAACCATTATTACGACAATGGTTGTAAGGGATTTTAAGTTACTCATAAGTTAAGCTCCGCTTAAATTTGTCGGTGAAAACGGTCATAAGAGGACCAGGTTGTGGTTCATGCAATAAGAGACAGTAAGTTTCGGTTAAGTCTATCACACTTCTGCTGGTGGAGTCTTTTGGTGTCTTCTTACGGAAATTACGATCGCGCGCCGAAATAGATACTTAGTTAAAATTTTCACAGAAAACTCTGCCACGATGTATGCGTATTTTCAACCGTTTATGGATAATTTATTTAAATAAGTGGGTTTTTTTCCGCGTTGATTTCAGCGCAATACCCTTAATTATTCATACACTATTGAAGATAGACATATGCCTCCGCGGAGTTTTTTTTTGTTGGAAATTTAACTTGCTTAAACGTTTTCCTATTTATTTCGCTTTGTTGTGTGTTTTGAAATAAATGCGATCGTGATTTTCGAAAGGAAACCAAAAGCTTTCTCCGTCTTTTTTACATTGGTTTGACCACGATACTGCTTCACAATTTAACCATTATTCGTACACCACTATCTTGTACCCTCTATAGGTACTAAATAATATTTAGTATATTATAGAAGGCAGCAATGTGAAACAAATGGTCACACTGCGGATAATGGTTTCAACATACGGAGACAAATGATATGTATGCATAACCACAGCATTGAAACTGGTGTAGTGATGTTCAAGTATTCGTATTTATATAGGAATTTTTTCTTTGTCAATTCTTCTGTGTCAAAGGGACCTCAACTGATAATTGTTTTACTTGATCTTTCATTTACAATTGTATTCATTTTTATGACTAATTGTCGGGGTTCTCGATCAACAATTTTGAGAAAAGACCTCCTCATGAGTTTAGTTAACTATACTAACAAGCTATGCCTTGACATACTTAAGCAAATAAAATTGGGACAATCAAATTTTAATGAAACAATTAATTGATGATAAATAAAAATATTCTTAATAGTAATCTGAAAGTAAGATGTACAAAGTTATATTCATTTCATTCAAAATATTGATATTTGTTTCAAAAACTTTAGTTTTCTTGTAGGTATGTACTGCCATTTATTAAGAAGTAGGCATAGGGATTTACGTATATTGTTTTTCCCTATGTCTACTTTTAAATGACAAAATCTCTTCTGAAGAGCGCCTAATTTTATGCATCCAAAATAACTTCTTAAAATAGATAAAGATAATTATTATTATTAATTAATTTGCATATTGTTGTTTTGACTTTACAGAAAATAAATCTCTTAGGCTCCTTGAACTGGTACCGGCACTATACCAATTGACAACTTTTTCTTCAGTTGAATACATTACATACAAATTAGTCTGACAGCCAGATCATTATTTGTTTTAAGAAGTTATTTTGCTTGCATAAAATTAGGCGGCATTCAAAAGAGATTTTGTCATTTAAAATACACATAGGGAGAAACAATACATGTAAATCCCTGTCTAATTCTTAATAAATAGCACTATATAGTAAAATAAATAGAAATGATTGCAAGTATGAAAAAGAGAAACCCAAAGGTGTTGCTAATTTGTTGAATTCGAATCCAGGTTCAATCATGGATATTTGTAAATTTTTATACGGTTAGTAGAGAAGTCTTGGATAAGATCCCTCACACTTAAAAGTAAAGGCAAAAAAATGTACAAAAATAAATCTTCCCTAACGGGCTTCTATTGCAAAATATTATTGAAATTCATAACACTTAACAGGTGAGACATGGGAGTTACATGGTGAAATCTGCGCTTATTTTTATTTGACCCATAATGTTTGAAAATTAAATTTCTTTACTAAAAAATTCACATAATCAATAAGTGCACCACTGTGCATGTATACTATCTGTCTCTCCAAGTGGAATATGAGATCTCCACAGTTGGACTAGACTTTTAAGGAATAGGCTTTAATTCGTAGAATACATTTAGTGGAAAGGGTATTGATTTATGTTGAATATTTTGATTAATTAAAAATTAAATGCTTTATATTGTTATTCAACTGTGCACTTTCTGTAGTTGGTACATCATTTTTCTCAGTTATGCTCACAGATCACCTATTAATACTACTAGGGCATTTAGAATAAATAATTTGTATTATACAGGTAATAATTTTGTTTCTTTGCAGGATACCGAAAGTATGAATTACACCAATTCAAAATTGTCATTGCCCCGTGAGAAGCCTCTGATGGTACGTCCTATGTCGAGGAAAGATATCTTCTATTCCGGATCGGTTATAAATCTCCCCGAGTACCAGTCGCAAAAGTCGTTAACCAATTACAGGCAGAGTGTGATGAGTATCCCGCGACCAAGCAGAAATGAAATGGGAGATATTGAAAAGGGAGAACGTAAGATCAATTCTATGGGTAGATATGATTTGTATTAAGTAACACTTTTTATTTTAGCATGTGATATGTGTCCATGTTTGGTGTTACCGGAAAGTTTTAAGTCTGCGTTGGCACAAATGATGGACTTTAGTTTATTAAAAGATCCCGTATTTATGTTAATTGCTATCTCTAACTTATTCGGAATGGCTGGTCTTTATGTACCATTTGTCTATTTGGTTGACTGTGCGAAGTCTGATGTAAGTATCTTGAGATTCAAAGCCTACATTGGAATCTGTGCGCATACTTGTTTCATTCATGGGAAGCGCTAACTGTATCTGTATATGATAAATGCTTCATTTTCTTTGTCTTGTTTGCAAAAGAAAGGGAAGTCAATCCAGGGTTGAATCAAGATAGAACCATCTGAGATGATTTTCACAAAATGCTCGTTTTGTAACAATTAATTGAGAAATAAGCCTAAAATTAATATTAAAATGACGACATTTAGCCAAACTTTTATAAACAATGATTATTCTATTAATTCCCCTGAGTAAGGGGAGTCATTCTAGAGAATCATGCAATGAAATTTGTTGTAATTAAGGCAAAAATCAAAGTCTAACTCTGCTGATGATGAAAATGGAACGTGGTACCTCTAAGATAGCAATGAGGCACATAATCACACAACACTTCTTATTGTAATTGATTTCTACAATGAAATATTTTCAGGGAATTGATCCAGGTCAGGCCTCGTTTTTATTGTCAATAATAGGAATTACAAACACTGTAGGACGTATAGCTTGTGGATATTTTGCCGACTTTCCACAGGTAAATGCGCTAGTTGTCAATAACATTTGCCTTGTTATTGCAACAGTAGCAGTGGCGGCTACGCCATTATGCCATACGTATGGTGCTTACATGACGACAGCAATTTTCTTTGGAATAGCAGTTTGTAAGTGCAACAAATTGTTTGATTTCCGTAAACTATGATAATTTTTGTTTCAGCTGGGTATATTTCTCTAACATCCATAATACTTGTTGATCTCTTAGGATTAGATAAGCTAACAAACGCCTTTGGTTTATTAATTCTGTTTCGCGGTGCTGCGACTATTGTTGGTTCACCCATGGCTGGTGCTCTTTATGATGCAACAAAGTCGTATTCGATTCCTTTTTATGTAGCAGGAGGCTTATTTGGAGTATCCGCTTTAACTAGCTTTATTGCACCGTACTTAAAGAAGCCGGCACCTCAAGAACCGCCTGCCATGATTGACGACGCTTTAACTCCGATCGATGAGGATGAAGAGGAAGAAGATGGTCCCATTACGATGGGAAGTAATCGCAACGCCATTCCTTCAATAGTTGAAACCGCTTCGAGTCCGTCTACCGAAAAAGAAATTAAACAGCTCGAGTCCGTTTTATAAAAAAGTAATAAATTGAAGATCGTTTTATGAACTGAATTTATTACTTTCACTTAACTTAATTTTACATAATAATCTTAACTTTTATGTATATTTTTTTAATATCTATGCATTTTTAGTGCGACTTATTTAATGAGTAATTTATCTTATTTGTATAGTATTTTTTAAGAATGAAGTGTTCAGTGATATGATGTGACAGTATTGTGAGCTATGATAGTCAATTCAAGTGCGAATTAGTAATTAATGTTTAAAAATTTGTTGTTTTAAGTAGGAAATATGTAAATATACGATTTGGACAATTATTACTAGAGCTACTCATATTATTTTCAAATATTGCACAAGTTTCGTAATTTTCATGTTCGACAAAATGTGTGCCTTCTTTTTTACTGTTGAACGGTGATTACGATACTTTTTTTATATTACCAGAGTAGCTATTTTTCTTACGATAGATTAGGATCATGAGAAAAGAAGGCTCATATTTTCAACATTTCAAAACAAGCTTAAATTCTGTAAATGTATTAAATAAATTTTGCTCAGGACCTACAAATGCAACTTTTATTGTGTGCCATTGTTACTCAACAGTCGGTATAGGCAAGTTTAGAGGTTGATTGTACTACAAAGACGAGAAAACTCCAAACATGGTCTGGTGGAGCAAGGAATGAAGCTCGGGTCCTCTCAGTTCTCTGAGAAAATATTTAAATAAAGTCCTTTTGTTAAAAGCAAGATGGAAAATTGCAAGGCCTTATAGGCAAATTTAACTAAAAATAAAATATGGGGAAATTACGAATCGTAACTCATTTATTGCACATAGATTCTAAACTGAACAGCTTTGATTAGCGTAATCCCGCTCAGGCAAGATAGGTAACCCGCCCCTGGTTTCAGGGTTTCGAGCCTACAGTTAAATGTCAAAGACAATCACGGAATTAGGTGTCGTACTTCAAATGGTTACGGTTTTTACCACCTCCGTAACTGCTTCATTCAGAGAAAATGGTTAGTTACAAACAACAAGTCAGTACATACATCAAACGAATCGGGAATTTCCACATATTAAAATAAAATGATCAATATTTATATGAATATAACTTCTCGGACAAGAGCAAGTAATCAACACATAAACATAAATTAAGCAAGCATTACCTACACCAAAAACGTAAACGATTACAAACAAAAGGATAACGCTATTAAACATGACATTCCGCATTGCGGTTAAACCAACTAAATTTCAAAAACAAACATTGAAAGACAAAAAATATAAAATCTGGCATACAAAACACAAATACGATATAAAGAAATGCAAAAATTACTACCTGCTTTAAATAACACAAAATAACAACAAAGGCTTTTCCCCACCTATGTTCCCCTACTAGAAATTGCATGGTTGCCGACTCTCAAAAATGTATGTATCGTCGTAAGTTGTATATACAGGGTGGAACCTCTCAATAGTTAATACAAGAAAGAACAAAGTGCGATTTACTACCTGCAGATGAACTGTTTAAAATAGAAGAAACAAAGTAGACGCTAGACCCACCAGGCACCATTACTCTTACTTTTCCCCAAGCTTGATTCATAGACATATGAGTATCACAGAACAGTAATATTTCCATATGACTATGGGTTCACTGCTTTCCATTTGAGTGAAAGAGGAGCTCTGAGCTGTACCATGCAAGATGTCCTGTGTTCCTTTTAAGAAAGTTTCAAGCTCTGACGCGCTCGAAATTGGATTTCCCTTGTCCCTTCATGCACCACTATTATGTATTTGTAAGTCTGACAACACTGTAACAGTGGCTTTTGCATTCGTCGGTTGGTATGGATCAAGGGGAATAAAAAATGACGTTTCAAAATGTGTGCTGTGGTCCATAATTAATAATGATAATCCCATAAAATACACGACAAACTGGCGACGAGGATGGGATAGACACGTGCAATTAAACCACAAGACAATTCTACGTTCTAATAATATTATATTGACTCCAGACTCGAAAGATATTATACATATCATATTGTAGGTTATAAAATGGCTCAATCTCAAGACATTTCCCAACTGGTAGGCGTTCTAACACAATTTATGGATAGGTTGACGACTCAATTACAACCACCGTCTCAAACACAAACTTCCAATCTATTATTGACTCAATCGTTAAACTTTGAAACGTTCGATGGCGAAAAGGAATCATTTGACTCGTATCGACAACGCCTCGAAAACTTTTTTGAAATCAAGCAATTAAGTGGCACTACAACGCAGGGAAAAGCAGCACGTCTCAAAGTCTTAATAAACTGTCTCGGAAGCAAACATTATCAACTATTAACTAGCCTTACTGCCCCGGAACTGCCGAACACTAAAACCTATGAAGAATTAATGCAGCTCTTGAAGGCTCACCTGTCTCCAACTCCAAACAAAGTTATTGAACAGCACAAATTCTTATGTCGAATGCAGTTACCCAACGAAAGTATAGCACAGTATGTAGCAGCATTGCGACAACTAACAACTACATGTTGCTTTAATTGTCCATCATCAGAATGCGGCATATCTATTGCAGAAGTGTTCCTAAGGTCTCAATTCATCCGAGGTATCGCTGACTCCGTCACAAGAGAGAAATTATTGTTAGATCAAAATCTAACCTTCGACAAAGCAGTGGAAGCAGCAATCGCTCACGAAGCCTCCAGGATTGGCAATAAAGTAATAACAGGTGAACCAGCCTCAATAAATCGAATGGACACCAAGGTCAGTAAGCCACATCCAATAACTAATAGATTAGGAAAGTCTCGGACCTCCCATAGCAATCAAACTTTTGCTCGTTTAAATCGTAGGACTACTTCTCAACACAGTCACATTCACATGTAAATTATAAAGACCTAGGACTAGATAGACTCTGTTTAAAATGTGGTAAAGACAACCATAGAACTCGGGAGTGTTTCCGCGAACGTGAATCATTAAAATGCTCTGCATGTAATAAAATAGGACACGTATCCAAAGTGTGCATTATGACCCTAACTCAATCAAAATCTAAAGTAAATAGAGACTCTGTGCGCGTTAAAAGAATCGAAAGTGAAACGGACGAATTAAGATTTATTGAACCTCAATTTAACGTAAACCGTGTAATAAATATCAACAAAACTGAATTATCCGAAGACTCGCAAAAATTCATGGTCCCAATAAAAGTAGGTTCGGTAACCATAAACTTTGAAGTGGACACAGGAAGCCCAGTCACCTTAATTAATCAACATGATTTTAACAAACTTCAATATCCGTCTCCTCTGAAAACCACAAATGTACTTTTTCGAGTTTACACGGAACAAACGTTTGCTCCTTTGGGGGTGATCCAAGTACCAATAGAATACGGCAACACAAAATCAGTCGAAGAATTGTACGTAGTTCCTGCCCCCTATGCAGCAATAGTAGGACGTGTATGGCTTCGACGACTAGGAATTGTAGATATTAAAAATGCACCCACAAATAAAATCTCACATCTTGCAACCTCCAATTCTGAGACACTAAAGAACGAAATCATGCAATCTTTCTATGATGTTTTCGAACAGAAAGTGGGTTGCGTTCCCAACTTTGCTTGCTCGCTCCGTGTCAAAGACAATCATATGGCTCCACTTTTTATGAAATCCAGACAAATTCCCTATGCACTGCAAGAAAAAGTAGAAGCAGAGTTAGATCTGATGGAACAAAATGGGCTCATCGAAAAAACAGACTACTCTGAATGGGGATCACCACTGGTTTGCGTTCCAAAACCAGATGGAAATGTACGCCTCTGTATTGATTACAAAATGACAATCAATCCGCACTTACAAAATGCTCGTTATCCAATCCCTCTTATCGACGACGTCTTAAACAGTCTCCGAGGTAGTGCAATCTTTTGTATTCTCGATATACATAAAGCCTATCAACATCTGCTAGTCGACAAGGAAAGTCAAAAGCTGCAAACAATTTCCACACATCGCGGTACATACAAAATGAAACGTCTCGCGTTTGGAATTAAAACGGCTCCCAACGAATTTCAAAAATTCATTGATACTGCTCTTCAAGGTCTCGAGGGTGTTGTCTCTTATTTTGACGATATAGTTGTGCACGCTAACTCCCTACAAGAATGCTATAATCGACTCGTAAAATGCTTAAATCGTCTCCGCAGTCTCAATTTGCATCTCAATCCTTCAAAGTGCACCTTATTTGCGAAGAAAATTAAATATCTTGGTCACATTGTTAGTGCAGAAGGAATCCAGAAAACTCCAGAAAAGGTGGAGGCAATATTAAACGCCCCACGTCTCAAAAATGTTCAAGAACTCCGTTCATTAATTGGCTGCGTCTCATATTATTCGAAATTTATGCCAAAAATTGCTGGGATAATGCGTCCCTTATATCAATTATTAAGAATCGGGACAACGTTTAAATGGACAGCTCCGTGTGAATCCGCATTTCTGAAAATCAAGCAGGAAATTTCTAGTAACCGAGTACTCATAAAGTATGATCCAAAGTTACCGTTAATCCTCGCAACGGATGCTAGTCCGGTTGGCTTATCAGCAGTTTTGTCACATATATATGAAGGAGAAGAACGACCTATTGCGTTTGCATCGAGGGCACTTACCAAAAGTGAAGAAAATTACTCACAACTAGACAAGGAAGCGACCGCAATATATTGGGGATTTCAAAAATTCTACACATATATATACGGTCGAAAATTTACACTAGTGACTGACAATAAACCTCTAAGCCACATTTTTGGGGCAAGCAACTGTCTCCCAACCATTACAGCTTCACGCCTCATAAGATACTCCATGTTTTTAAGCAGTTTCGATTACACAATTAAGCATCGTAAATCGGAAGACCATGCAAATGCAGATTATCTGTCTAGAGCTCCATTACCAAATCCCAAACCTGAATCTACAGATGAAGATTCTGAAGTTTTTAATATTATCGTGTCTCATTTAATTTCCGACCCTATTACTTTTCGAACTATACAGTTAGAAACTGACAACGATCCAGGACTAAAGGAATTAAAACGGAATTTAAGTCACAATAAAACAGCAACGACAGAATTCAGTCTTCACGATAACGTTATATTCCGAGGTCCTCGGGTAATGATCCCAAACTCACTGCAAAGGTACGTTTTGAATGAATTACATTCAACCCACCAGGGAATTGTGAAGATGAAAGCTCTTGCACGTCGATATTGCTATTGGAAAAAAATCGACCACGACATAGAATGCCTTGTTAAATCCTGTAAAGCTTGCTGTGATGTGAAGCCAAACCCACCAAAAGTACCTCTCCACAAATGGGAACCACCTAAGGAAAATTGGCAACGAATACACATGGACTTTGCTGGTCCCTTTCAAGGAAACTATTTTTTCATTGTCGTTGATGCATACTCGAAATGGCCAGAAATCATCCCGTCGAAGTCAGCGCCGACATCAGCTTCAACGGTGATGATGCTTCAAGAAATCTTCAGTCGTAACGGCTTACCACAAATTTTAGTCTCAGATAACGCAACAATCTTTAAATCAAGGGAATTCAAAGATTTTTGCAACAGGAATGGTATTCAACAACGCTTCATTGCCCCGGGTCATCCAGCTACGAATGGGCAAGCCGAACGATTTGTCCAAATCTTGAAAACAAAGCTAAAAGCCATGAACGAAGATCAGGGAACCTTACATCAAAAACTGTATGAAATCCTACTCCGTTATAGAGCAACGCCATTACTCAGCAGTGATAAGACTCCGGCAGAAATCTTCTTAAATCGGAATTTATGCACAAGACTGGATTTGCTTAAAATGAGATATCCCACCAAGAATTTAATAAACGACTCTATCGTAACAGCCAAATTACGTCTGGGAGAACGAGTACAATCACGAAACTACAGCTCATCTACACTTTGGAAATATGGAACCGTGGTCCAAATATTAGGCAATCTACATTATCTTATTGAACTCGATGATGGGTACGTCATAAAACGCCATATCGACCAATTAAGAAAGACTCAGGTGCCAAGGAACGAGCATGTACCAAATGTTTCTGAACCAAGCGTTTCTCAAGACAAAACGGTCCACATGCAACCAAATACTCAACAAGAAAAAACCCGGAACCCATTCCTATATTACCATTACCACTACCAGAACCCACTAATTCTGAGTTACAGGCAGACCAACAACAACACCCGCCACTGAGTGTAGGTGAATCTCCCAAAGTCCCAACCTTCTACCAAACACCAATCAGCCCGATGACCGATCAAGTAGGCCTGTTACTCCGGTCAAGAGTGAATCCACATCTACCGCTGTCCCACCTGAAACTAGACAACCCTCGACAAGAATCAAACGCCCCGTAATTCGCATGAATTTATAACTACTTATAGTGATATGTATGTGTGATAATGTTGTACTTTACGTCTGGGAGAATTATTATGTATTTGTAAGTCTGACAACACTGTAACAGTCGCTTTTGCATTCGTCGGTTGGTATGGATCAAGGGGAATAAAAAATGACGTTCTAAATGTGTGCTGTGGTCCATAATTAATAATGATAATCCCATAAAATACACGACAACCACCTATTTGTTTGAGACTTGAAACACTTTTGTGGGTATTTACGTACTGTGAATATCAATTCAAATGTGTGCAAAATGAAGAACTTGCAAAACGTAGTGCTCCAAACGAACTGCATCAGAGCTTCACGCACTCAAATGGAAAGCAGTAATGAGTCGAAAATCCCTCTACACCTCCGCAGAACGGTCGAAATAAAAAAATAGCACGATTAGTGTATACAAGGTGTATCGTATTTTTGTTTCAGAGATAAAAGTATGTTGCCTAACCGTAGGGGTAGGTTACGACAAATCATTGATTAAAAAATTATAATTTTCTAATTAATATGAAATTATGTACCTACCATATAGTATACTATACGGCTTCCTATGTATGTTTAGGGTAAAAGAGTGAACATTTATTTATTTGAAAACAAAAGATGATATTGTGCTGCTAAACGTCAATTGTCTTAGTCGAGGTTTTAGTATTTGATGATTTAGCTAATTAAAATAATTAACTAAAGTGCCATTTTCAAATGCAGCGAGTGTGATATGCTTGAAATAAAAATAATTATTAGAGGCGTATAATTATTTTGTTGTTTATCCGCCATTTGTGATCTCTACCTATTTATAATTAGAAAATTAAGTTAATTGCGTGTTTAATTTATGTTTATGTGTTGATTACTTGGCCTTAGGTATCCGAGAAGTTACATTTATATAAATTTTGATCGATTTATTTTAATGTGTGGAAATTCCCGATTCGTTTGATGTATGTAGTATACCTATGTACTGACTTGTTGTTTGTAACTATAATTCAAGACAGCCTCGAGTTCTTAAGAAAAATGCGTTTCAGGTAGAATAGGATGTAGGGGTTACATTTTCAAATCCTAAAAAGGGCAGGATACATTCAATTCACTTTCAAATTAGTACAATTTCACTTAAAACCTGCTAGAATAACCTATAATGTTTACCTTTATTTTTGAGTGGGCGCGGTTTCAGCCAAAGCTGCTCTACCAACCCAACCCAATATACATTTACATGCCGAAATCCGGATTCGAACCAGGGACCCTTAGCACCACAGTTCAGCTTTAACTGTACTGCGCCACACCGACCGGCTTATTTGGAAGAGAGAAGAGCTTTAAGCAGGAAAGATAAAAATCATACCTACTAAAAATATAATTAATTTATATAGTTCAATGGTCATTCTACAGCTGTTGGGTAACTTCAGGGATCACACGATTCACCGACTTGTATAAGCAAGTATAGGAAGGTAGTATCATTTAAATCTATATATTTACTATCTATACTGATTTTTTATCGTAAAGTACTACTCATTCCGTCAGTTTTCGAGGTACTTTTTGAGACAAACCCTTAGACCATATAGTACATGGACTGCTATCGCCCTATGCTTTCAATACAAAATAGGTGGTCACGGATAGAGGGCACTGTAGTCGTGGGTATGTGAATCTCAGGGTAAACTAATGCCCTATGAACACGACTCGGATCGCGTAAATAGTAACTTTTATGGTAACGGCGTAGTACGGGAAGCTTTAAATACTCCTGATTATCTTCTATACGTCCACAAATAAGAATAGGTTTGCTTTTTTTGCCATATCTACACTATTAATTAATTGACGTTTGTGAATTTATAGGTTGACAGCCTCAAATCGTGTCTCAACGGACAATTTCGGACAGACTCGTTTACCCTGAAACGCACATACCCAGGCGATGTCCTTGACCATATTTTAGTTACAATTAGCAGTCCATGTACTATATGGTCTAAGGACAAACCTCCTTGTTCGCCTATCTATATACATCAGGGTGTAAATATTATGTCCTATTTGACTTTTCAAAAATGTTTCTAAAATTCCTTACACTTCTATTGACGTGCAAATCCTTCGATCACGGCTGCACCACTTAGATTAGGAATTTTTTAAAATATTTGTACAAAATCAGAAGGGACATAATATCCAAAACATGAATAAAGTCGCAAGCTCTAGACTGCTATGGATTTTGAGAAAAAAATTAAAGAAAACGGACTATTTTGCATTTTGGGACTTTTGGAGGCGTAGCTCCTAAATGGTTCATTTTACATCTACAGCCGTTTGTTCAGAAGTGTTCGTTTTGGTCCTCTCTCGCCCCCAATTGTTGGACTATGTAGGCGCGGTGAAACTATCGTAGTTGCAATATCCTGTATATGTTTGGGGATATTTGGTTAGCAGGGAATCAAGATTGATTTTTAAAATATACTCTATTGTTGGACAAAAACCGAATAAAGTTGTAATAATAATCGTTCCCGATAGATCCCAACAAATTGTAGGTGATAGATAGATTAATTAATTTACGGAAGTTTATCTAATTTTGTTAAAATCTTTATATTTTCTTTTTTCAAGTTCGTTGTTGTTGGTACTTGATGCTAACTTAAATGGCGGTTTGTTTACTTTTTTTTAACTGTTTACTTTTATGAGTAGAATAGAAACACGTTTAATTAATCACTAAATTCCGAAAAGGATTTGCAAAATGTGAAGTAGGCGTTGTGGATTTCTATTGCAGAAATCCTCCTCAACCGGTTATATGCATACTATGAGCGCACTCATGATGGATTACGAATTTAAAGTGAAAACACAAAACGAGCGAGTTAAAGTGGAAGATTTGTTTGAATATGAGGGATGTAAAGTTGGTAGAGGCACTTATGGGCACGTTTATAAGGGAAGACGGAAAGACGGCTCGGATAACCGAGATTATGCTTTAAAACAGATCGAAGGGACAGGTCTATCCATGTCAGCATGTCGAGAAATTGCGGTAAGTGTCGACCAAGAAGTTTACATGCTGAATTTTTGTTTTGCAGTTACTTCGCGAATTGAAACATTCAAATGTAATCAATTTGATACGTGTGTTTTTATCACATAATGATCGGAAGGTTTGGCTGTTGTTTGATTTCGCCGAGCACGATTTGTGGCATATTATCAAATTTCATAGAGCAGCCAAGGCAAATAAGAAGCCCGTGATGGTACCCAAGGGGATGGTTAAGTCGCTTTTGTATCAAATATTGGATGGAATTCATTACTTACATTCAAATTGGGTTTTACATAGAGATTTGAAACCTGCCAATATCTTGGTAATGGGCGAAGGACCAGAAAGAGGGCGTGTTAAAATTGCGGATATGGGCTTCGCAAGATTATTTAATGCACCATTAAAGCCGTTAGCTGATTTAGATCCTGTGGTTGTTACATTTTGGTACAGAGCTCCCGAGTTGCTGTTGGGTGCTAGGCATTATACAAAGGCTATTGGTAAGTTAAGGAATTTATTTCACAAACAAATTTTATGTTTACGGTGAATCTGCAGCCATTTTGAGTTGTGTATATAAAATAGGTACGTAATCGTCCCATTGAGCGTGGAAGAAATTTGCGGCTATGGGATTTCCGAGATTATATTTTTGTGCAAATTTTCGTATGGAAAATTTCCCTCTGTTCTTAACAGAATCATTCGTTAAACGTTGTTCTTCAAACTGGATCCTGTCTTTTTGTTGAAATACCAAAAAGACATATCGATGCAATCCGCTCCCTCTCGGTGGACCGGCTCCAATGTATTCGGTCAGAGTTTCTCCTTTTTCGATTGCATCCCCAGGTATATTGCCCACTAACCAATGGTGCCATTCACGTAAGATCGGATTTCTGTTTGATGGGGCATCGGGATCGGTCAGGGATATTGTATAAAACAAATTGGGATGTGCAGCCCATCGAATGATTGGCGGTTCTTTTACTTGGATCGGTTTTAATTCCGTTGCTATTTCAACTCTAACATCGTTTGGGTAAACAACTTCAGCCAAATCGGATGGTATGATGTCGATAATATCAGGAACTACACGATGTTTTCTAATGCCATGAAGAGCTATGGAATAGTATCGAAATATGTTTAACATTTCGAATTGTGACAGGCAGATGCAGCTGTTTCCTGTGCTAACTAAATAGGAAGCAATTTTGTTACAGTATATTAAACTTTAGTGCGTTACTAAGCATATGGTATTGTTCATGTTAATGATTATCTTTACAAAAAAGTTAATATGCATTAAAAAATTATGTAACACACGGCATGATCTATTGTACAGAACTATTGCAAAGAGGTTTATGATCATTTGGTCCTTGAAAAGTCACAAATGTAGGTATAAGTAGGTAGATAATTAAATAGCAAGAATTTGATAGTCATTTTTTAGCACATTTTTTAAAGTTAATTTCGATTAATTTTGTTCATTCATTTCAATGGGTTTGTTTGTGGTACCTTACAGGATGAAAATTGTTTGATTTAAATTGTTGTTCAAACAAAATATAAGTCAAAGTGGGGCGAGGGGGGTTAATTGTTTTTTTAGTAAAATATCTTAGACCATGGACTGCTATTCGCCCTATGCTTTCAATACAAAATGGATGGTCACGGATAGAGGGCACTGTAGTCGTGGGTATGTGAATCTCAGGGTAAACTAAAGTGTAAACACCACTAGGGTCGCTTAAAGAGCAGCTTTATAGTAACCGACGTAGTACAAGAAGCTTTAAATACTCTTCATTATTTGCTATACGTCCACAAATAAGAATAAGTTTGCTTTTTTTGGGATATCTAGGCGATTAATTAATTGACGTTTGTAAATTTATAGGTTGACAATCTCAAATCGTGCCTAATCGGACAACTTCGGACAGACTCGTTTACCCTGAAACTCACATGCCCAGGCGATGTCCTTGACTATATTTTAGTTCCAATTAGCAGTCCATGTACTATATGGTCTAAGTAAAATATGTATTCTCAATGGTTGCTATAGAACTAAGCTTTCATCTTTAAAATATCATTTGTGTTAGCCCCTTACAGAAAGTGTTAGTAAGAGGAATCTCAACCAAACAAATTTGCCCATTTTTTGGACAAAATGTCCAAATGTCTGCGGTCTATTCCCTTTGCGGTCTACTGTCTTGAGGTCCAATGTCCGTGTCCTAGTGTCTGCAAAAGTCTTCTTCCGACCGCAGTTGTTTATACTAGGTATACAGGGTATTCCTAAATATGATGTAAATATGGGAGGGGCTAATTCTTTGGTTTTTATGACTAAAAGTTCATTTAAACATAGGTCCGCAAGCGCTTCGTTACGGATGTACAGGGTGTTATTATAATTTCACAACCTTTAAATCTCATTATGCAAACACAAGATACAATTTCAAATGACAACTGTCAAAACTAATAAAAACAAGAGATTATGCAAATAAAGTCAGGGCCTCGGGGGTCATTTTAAAAACCTTTACTTTCATTTAGCTAAATTGATTTTTTTTCTAGATAACGATGGTAAATAGGAAAAAATTACAAGAGACCAAACAGTTTCCAAATAAACCAGAAAATCATTCTGATTTTACAATCTACCACACCGCACCGAGAAAAAGGTCAAGGGTAGAAAATGAAACATGACCCCTGAAAAAACAACACCCTGTAGATTCCCACTATCATTGACATGGCCAATCCCTTACAAGTCATATTTGAACAAAATATCTCATAAACTGCGGGAGATATAAAGAATTCTTGAAATGTTAACACCCTGTAGATCAGTAGCGAAGGGTTGACGGACCTATGTTTATTATGAAAATTTAGCCTTAAAATAAGTCAAAGAAAAAGCCTCTTGCGTATTATATTATATTTGAGAACACCCTGTATGTTATGAATTCATATAGAAAAAGCAACATTTCAGTTCTCGAGAGATATTGAAACTTTTAAATAGTGACTTGCACTAATAAGGTAAGCTCTTATACGTTGCTCTTATTTTGCTTCCTTATTTTGTGAAAGTTTTGCAATACTTGAATCAGTGGTTTGTTACAATTTACTCTAAAAACATGTAGACCCAATTGGAGAAATATCTACCTTTTTTTTTCATATTCTTTTTTAATTCTTCTGCTATAAAATTTTTAATTATATTATTATGTTTTATTTTTTTAGCACATTTGACTTCCATAGGTTAAAAAAAATGTTGAGTGTGTACGCTTCGAATACTGCGCAATGAGTGGTTCAAGGTACGGAAATTGTCGGAATCCAATGGCATTGTCTATGATTTTTTTCCAAGCTTATAATGGGCTTTTTGGTTTTTTTTGAGAAAAGGATTTTATTGATTTTTCTTATTGAAAAAAAAACAACCATTGAGTAAAAGGTGTTATTCATAAGCTAAACTTTAAATCAAACTTACCCTATATGCACAATAATTCATAGCAATTGATATCGATCTTTTTAGATATTTGGGCAATTGGATGCATCTTTGCAGAATTACTGACTTCAGAGCCCATTTTCCATTGCAGGCAAGAGGACATTAAAACTAGCAATCCTTATCATCACGACCAATTAGATCGGATTTTCAATGTAATGGGATTTCCGCACGAGAAAGATTGGGAGGATATCAGAAAAATGCCGGAACATCCGACATTGTTGAAAGACTTTAAAAAATCTAAGTATGATTCCGGGCACAAAGCAGATGTAAATTGATCAAATTCATTTCAGTTACGCAAGCTGCTCACTAATCAAATATATGGATCGACATAAGATAAAGCCAGATAGCAAGGCATTCCATTTGTTGCAACGTTTATTACTGATGGATCCTAATAAACGAATAACATCTGAGCAGGCTATGCAGGATGCATATTTTACAGAGGATCCTTTGCCCACTCAAGATGTTTTTGCTGGTAAATCTGGAAGGTATCAATATTGTCGTTAAGGGAATTTTATTACAGGCTGCCCTATTCCATATCCAAAAAGGGAGTTTTTAACAGATGATGATCAGGAAGAAAAAACGGAAAATAAACGCCAAGCCCAACCACAACAGCAACAAGCTCAGCAACAGCAACAGCCCCAGCAACAACAGCAACAAGCTCAACCCAACAATAATGATAATCACGGAAATCCATCCAAAAGGCCCAGGTTGGTGGGGCCGCATCCTGGACAAGTTAATACACAAGTCGTTCCAATTACTTCTCAACAAGAGTTTCACCAGCAACAGATGATGTACAGTAATACCAATCAGCAACAGCAGCAAAACTTTCAGCAAAGATTTTAATTTTTTGCACTGGAAACTGCTCTCAATTGAAATAATACACTTTTTAAGAGTACCTGAATCGTACTTGCTGTGTATATTAGGGGAATTTTACTGTTAATCTTGTATTTGTGTATAAAAATCAGCAGGATTTTGTAATTTCGAAAAATTGAACTTGTCATCATAACAGCAAAGTATATTAGTACTTTTGTATTACAATAATTCCATGTTTGCTATGTTGAAACAAAGTAATATTTCCAATTTCTTAGTTTTTTTACAATGCCTGACTTCTTGGATAACAAAATACCATAAAAAAACGTTTGAGTGGGTACTTTGTATGTATAATAGGCTGCATGTGGCACGCGACCTAATGTTTTGCGTTCCGTTGGCGGGCCGCTAAAATGTATTAATTTCCCGAAATGCACAATATCACTGATAAAGTTGCATATAAAGATGTTATAATGCGGCTCTCGAAGTTGTAGTTTTTTTAAAGTGACCAGGGCCACTTGAAAGATGCGCAGCCCTGTTCGATAACGTCATCGACATATCGACAACGTGTGAAATTATTGCTTAGGGATTGTTTTTGTTTAACCTTCCAAACCTTATCTGACCTATATCTTCAGTACAATTGTAAACCAAATGTGTGTAAACAATTTTGCAAGAATGAAATGATAGATCAAGGTTCCATATTATACCAGAGTGCCAGACAGAAGGTACTTCTTTCTCTCTTACCCTCCATTCTCCATTCTTTTTGCAAGAAAAAAATATGCCAAATTCTTGACAGACTATATTATACCGGGTGGTGCACGGTAAGTAGGAACCTAGGGATTTAACATGGGAAATTAGTTTTATGCAATATCCTGCTCCCCTGTACATTTTACAAAAAAAAGCGTTTAAAGTTGTTCAAAATTAAAAGGCGCATACAAAACTGTTTTTACATGTTTTATTAAGCTTTTGGTATACCCGCAAGTTTAAAAATAAATTTCAACATTTCTGTTATTAGTAGCAATAGCCATGACTTTTGTTGTTTTACATACCCTATAGTACAATGCCTCAATGATAGTTACGTCCTTTGATTATATAATAATCAAAGGTTACGCCTCTGTCTCTCTTTAGAAATAATAAGCAACCAACAGCACATATTTGAAATAGAACTTAAATCATATCCACATTTTTGTGCAACTCGGGGCTTTTAGCAAAATTATACGGTCGTATCGCCGTATTTTATCTTAAACAATTGGACTAAAAATTGGGGCGGATTTGGCAAATTTGAATTACCTAAATTAATTTAGCGTAAAGAAATGAATAAAAATCAGTTTTGAATTTTTTAATTTTTTTGTTGTACCCCCCAATCCATTACTTTTCATGTAACTTAAATATTTGAACTAGAACATAGCAGTTTTAATTCCCTTTTGAATGAATCAACCTGTTTTGATAACCGATTTCCAGTTTAAAATTCCCGCCTTAGCGCACCTCTAATTTTTCTTTAAGTTGGACATACTGCGAAGTAAATCCGGTGGAAAAATTCCTCTGTCAAATCTCCAGATCCAAAAGGAGGTAATAATTGGTTTCTTTAATCCATATTTTTGATTTTACTGGTTAGAAATTAGTATTAGTGTTCGCATTATATGATTTTTTAGTATCTGTTAAGATATTTAAATTGAAATTGTTCAAAAGTATGTTACTTTCTGCAACACGTGTTTTCTGTCAAAATATGGTGTAATAATTGCAATTATTTTCAGGATAACTCAAAATGCAGTTGCATATTCGTGGTCAGTCAGTACATGTCCTGGAATGCCAGGGCACGGAAACGTTTGCCCAGATTAAGGTTAGTGCAATGACGGTAGACCAGTTTATACAAAATTGTGGTTACAGAATAGGATCGCAGCACTAGAGGAACTAACTCCGGAGGATATTAAGTTATATTCGCAAGGAAATCCTATTAGCGAAGATGCTCTTGTATCACTGTACGAAGCTGCAGACATTGAATTGAACGTTGGTCTTCTCGGTGGTAAAGTTCACGGATCATTGGCTCGTGCAGGTATTTGCATTTTTTTAAATTCAATATGAGGGGCAAGTTACAGCAGGCCTTTTTGTGTTTTTAACGAAAGGTCTTCCTTAAGGCTTGCTAGACTAAAATTGGACTGTTTGAGGTAGATAACGTCTAAAGTTAGCTACTGTAGGAGGTTACGAACATTTTATTTTCAGTATGTTTTGTGTATATGTACTAATGCTTTTTGTGTACAGGTAAAGTAAAGGGGCAAACACCCAAAGTAGAGAAACAGGAAAAGAAAAAGAAGAAGACAGGAAGAGCTAAAAGACGAATTCAGTACAACAGAAGGTTCATCAATGTTGTTGCCACTTTTGGTCGTAAACGTGGGCCAAATTCAAATTCAGCTTAAATATAGGTTTACTTTTGTATTTTATGTGGCAAAAACTAATTAAATCATAAAATCTTGATGGTATTTTTAATTTGATTTTCTGTTATATACAGCAAGAGCACATTTTTGTGATGAAATTAAAAAAATACGGTGATCAAAAGTAGAGTTTTTATTATCGCACATAATTGGATATATAAACAGAACTTCAAGCATCAATTGTAAGATTAATCAAACATAAATATTCCAATTGCTGCCATCTTCGGGTGTTAAATTATTAGTAATAAGTAAAACAATATCAACAATCCACCAAATACCTAATCCTCCTAAAGTTAGAAGTTTTCCTACTGCTGTACCCGTTTGACCTAAACAAAAACGGTCCATTCCAAGGAAACCTAACAAAATGCTATACAGTAAAGTAGTAGCGAAAAATTGTTGAGAGTATTTAATGCACGCTACACCTTCTTTAAGAAATGTTTTATTACCATAACACTCTATTTTATCTAAAACTGTACAAGGCACTTTTGTTCTTTCTACATCATCGTACCACATTCCACCAAACTTAATGCACCCGTAACCCAATTCGTCTTTAGCAGTTTTATTTCCCTTATGGTCGACAGGTTCCTCACAGTCGATGAACTCCCATGATAAAAATGAACATTGGACTAAGGGACCTAAAGGATCAAAAGAAGCGTTTTCTCCAGGAACTTCACAGTTAATTCCTGTTATCAGTAGATGGTAAAGGACAATTAGGAAATACATGTCGATTAAGAAATCACATCCTAATGTTACATTTTCATGAGTACCCGTAAAGCCTTTCCGGTTTGTTTACCAGCTGCATATTTATTTGTTTTATTCAAGATCTTATCGCAGTCTAGAGACACTAGCAAGAGTATTCTTTACTGTGGTCAGCATCAGAGGGATTTTTTTCGCAGGACGTTGTCCACTTATTTATTTTGTACAAAAACAGCTGGCTTGTTGTAACTAGCGCCCGTGTTTAAAGTCCCGGGATGAAATCCAACTGGCGGTAGCTATGCACCCGGTAATAAGGAACTGTCCATGTAGATACCTACGGAATGTAGAAAGAGGCATATTAAGGTGACGAAATTTTTTCGAAAATGTTATAGCATTGGATTTATCAAGTACTTAATTTTCAATACCTAGTGTAGTGTACTTAACCCCCAGGTTCTACACTAACTTCACACTACAAGAACACGGAAATAAAACCAACCCGGTAACGTTTAAAAATGGCCACCCGAATGACTATTCCCAAATACCTTAATATATTAATACAGGAAACTCGCTACTATTTGCATTTGCGTACGTGTGACACGTGAATGAGCGCCATCTTTACGGCGCGGTGTGCAATGACGAAAAAATAAGAAGAGAATTATTTATATTCCCAAGAGTATTTAACATCATAGGGGTATGATATTATCAAATACCATCATATTATCAGTTTATCCATAAGAATTTTGCAAAATAATCTGTAAAAAATAATACATACCCTAAAAAAGCGAGTTAATATTCATCTGCTCATTTCTGTAATGGTACCTTGGTAGATAATTTCTTTGCCTTTTCAGGTTTCTAATAAGGTAAGGTGGGGTAAGTTTATTTGGAGGAAGTGAATAATGAAGATAATACGAAAACCATGCGAATACTAGAGGTTTCATATAATAAACTACTAAAGGAAGTCTCTCAGCTAACTTTTATTGTTAAATCTTTATTTTGCCTTAAGAGCTTATATATTTTGTAAACAACCTGTTTATGTTTTTAAAAGTCTTTCCTTTGTGTTCTTAAAAAGTTTGTACAATCGGTAACACTTTGCTGAACAATAATGAAGTGCTAGAGCAAAATTCTTCTGCAATTCTGAGTATCTACGACCTCTTGGTTTACATTCAACATTGTCCAATGGGGTCATTATAGAATTACTAGGTCTTAACTTCTTAAGTTCGGATTTCAGTTCTTCATTCTGTTTTTGAAGAGTTAAGACTTGCTGTTTTAAATTTGCAATAGTTTGAGTATATCTGCTTTTATATTTTTGCAACAAACGTAACTTTTTTGCAACAGTATTCGGGGAATCGCACATGTTTCCTTTTCTTTTCTTGGGCTCAGAATGGTATTCAGCTACAGTTTGTGGTATACGGTCTTCCATAACATCTGCCTCGAGGTTTTCATTTTGAGGTAACTTACGTTTGAAAGGACCTTTTCTTGTCTTTAATTGAACCCCGTGCAACTTTATACTTGGAATGACACCCTTCCAAGAATATCTTATTCTCCGTAAAAGTGTAATTGTAAAACCTATTCCAAACAAATACACTAATGAGTAAATAAATTCAGACCTACACTTATGTAAATCTCACCCTTGACTAAACAATCGTGTATTTCTGAAATGACTTTCAACAAAATGATCAGAACACACTCTATAGCTTCTGTTTAAACATTTCACACCTCCTTTCTTAAAAATAGCATCCAAGTCGCTTCTTTTGCAGTTGACCACCCACTGCTTGCACCTAAAATGAAAACAATAGTATAAGCTAGGCCCTACATAACATAAAACTTCATAGAAATTTGTGGAAAAATATAAAACTTCCAATTTGGGTATATACAATAAAGTTACTTACACTTCTGTATTTAAAGGAAATCGAAAGAATGCTTTTGAACAATTTTTCACAGTGGCATTGCAACAACCATACACAGCACAGACCCCACCAGACATGCTGTTTTACGACTTTTTCTCTCCAAAAAGCCAAATCAAAAGTTGCAAAAATTTCAAATCAAATATGACATTTGATTGTGAACACACCCTACCGCACGGTGGCGCTGCAGTCACTTGCGACAGGTTGTCAATGTGAGTTTCCTGTATTATTATATTAAAGTATTTGCTATTCCCTCCAAAACTAAACAAGATCCCGCTTAAATTTGAAAAGTGGCACGTGATAAAACATCTAAGGCAGGGCCCCTTTACGTTAGTTGTAGACAACGCTTTCACCAGAAGCACAGTTAGGGAAGGAACGTTAAATAAAACACTGAAATTGTGAAAAGTTTGTTTAATAATGATCGTAATTATTAAGATTGTGAAAGCCCGGAAATTTAGTTGTAGCAAAGAGTAACCATAATAAGAGATTCAACGGCATAGAGAATAGTGTTGCATATGTATTGTGTGTTGCCTAACAAATTTTACTGCTTTTTCTCAATTTTATTGGCGTACGCTACGCCTAAGGTGGGTTCATAGCTCTCCGTTCATACGTTTCCGTTTGTCCGTTAACCAATCAGAAGACAGCAAATTTTTAAATCGTACGTCGTCCGTTTACGACGGAAAAGTTGGTTGAAGTTGAACATTTACGTTTCCGTTGGTCCGTTTTTAACAAGAGTGAGGTTATGTTTGGTACGTTAACAGTGTTCACCTATTCGTTCTTCAGGGTAATAATCAGATAGCAACGTGTTCTTATACTTTCGTACCATTTTTCAATACTGAAAATCACGGAGGGTATAGTACAAAATAAAATTTAGGTTATGGTTATATGTTGCAAATGTACAATGTGGACGGATTGCTATGAACCTTAACAAAATGTATTATCCGTTTGACGAATCAACGCAACGGATGAACGGAGAGCTATGAACCCACCTTTAGGGGCTATTTCAAGGCAACTACTTGTTTAGAAGTTTATAAATATCATTGCAGAAATCCCAGCGTTGCCAAATGTTTAGTGTTTGCTTGAACTTATTTAGGTATCTATTATTCCTTGAAATGTATGATGTTTAGAGATATGTTATTGCATTCTACGCTTATGGCACAATTTATTAAGGTCCGAACGCTTGTTGGTTTGATTCATAGGTGCGAAGATATGTTCTTCGTGTAACAATAAGCCGTTTTTTGGGCGGTAAATAATAGATTTTTTACTGTGTATTGTGTATTCCCAGTAAGCGCGAGTAATAAGCTCGCTTTGATTACGTCTCTGCCCATTGTACACACTGTTCGTCGCCCTACCGTCGACGGACGTATGGCAAAGTCGACCGAACTAGATCGTTTAGTTAGAGGAAGTAGTCTAACGAACGATATTTATCTTCCAACTTGCACGGAAATAAAGGAACATTTTTTTTTTAAAAAAAAAGGCCAATAGACGTTTTATAGCATGTATTGTACAAATAATAAGATAATGAAAGATTCCAGGAAAAAATGTTGCAATCACTTTATAATTTTTGCAGGCCAAACTATCAACAATGCTAAATCCAAAATAAACTGCCTCAATTGGATTATAGTTGTGATCGAATGGTTCAGATCAGTTACACTGTGGAGTGGACCAACGCAACCCCTGACGCAACCCCACCGCTTTAAAAATGGTTTCTTTGCGATAACTGAAAAACTACTTGACCGATTTGGACCCTATTTTTTACCAGTCGATGTGACTAATGTCCCATTTAATCTCATTACATTTCAGTCCGATCGACCCACGCATTCCGGAGATATTTAAACGCTCCAGAAACCCTATATTTGGAGTGGAAGCCAACGTTGTTTTCAAAAATGAGACCATACACTGCATTATCAATCGTTTAGATGCATAAATTACTAGCAGAATGCGGAAAATTTAAATACATATACTTATGTGTTTTTTCCGCTACTAGCCAATGGCATAGAGTAAATTTACTCTATGCCAATGGTGACTGAAAAACATGCGTACGACGCTTTAGTTGCTAGGAGACCGATGCGCGCTAGTGCTGCTGCTTAAAATGCGGGTCGAGAGTATTTTTTTCATTGAATTGTTTAAATGAGAATAACGTGTAAATATTTAATTAAATTTATTCGACGGGTGCAGATTTATTAATTTATTATTTAACTGCACTATATATTTTGACTGATTATTGGATTAGACTGATGTTTTTTTTCTGAGGACATATAAGGATTATTGCATTGTAATGATTGATTGTTAATGATTAAACAACTCAGCGTATGTAGGCATCTATACAAAATTAAAGCAAACAAAATTTCCTGTAAAATAATCCCTATGCTCATCATAAAATCCAATTTTATTAAATATGTTGTCTACTTTAATTTGATTGTAGTAGACGATCTAAAAGGGATGGATAATAACAATGCTTGATGAATGACTCCATTTCGTTAATAGGTCTCTAATGAAGGGTGAAGGGTATTATTGTGAACTACCTATTATAATAAATTATAACAAATTTAATTTACATTTTTACAATTGTACCTGTTATTGGTTATTCACTTAAACAGTAATTACTGTCTATTCAATAGACGCCAACTAAACAGGGAAATCCTAATGTAATTAACAATAGGTACTGAATCGTTGCTGATTTCTTTTATACTTAAGTAATGTTTTCTAATTATATCATGTCCACATTTTATACAGCCAATAAGAAAGAAAATTAAATGTGACAACCGCGCAAATATTTTAAACCGAAATTCTATAAAGAATTCTGTAAATTTTCAATACGCGCCAATATTTAAAGAGGCGGTTAGTTCTGGCCACCTCTACGAGAGGGCCCGCTTTTGGAATCCTAGCGGGCGAGTTCTTATAGCCAACACGCGTTTATACCATTGCGCTGTATCTCTTATTATGGTTACTCTTTGGTTGTAGCAAATTAATATAAACAAAGCAAGCAAAGCCAAAAGGTGTCGTATTCTCGCAAAGGTAACTGGCTAAGGGTAAAAAGAGTACGACGTAAGAAAAACCTCGCAGTTTGATTAATACAGTCCAAATTTTAATTATCAAAATATTTTGTAAAAGTTTAAGCAGTAGTTAACAAAGATAGTAAATGCATATATACAATGTTGGTTACACTCAATGTTAAAAGCAAGTTTTTGTGAACAATAGGTCAGGTAGTAGCAGGTACCTAAATTCTGGGGAAGCGTTAAGAGTACCGGATGTGACTCATTTTTGGTGTAATAAAGTTATTTTGTTAAAAGCAAGATGGAAAATTACATGGCCTTGTAGGTTTAACTAAAAACAAGATATGTGGAAATTATTGAATCGCCACTTATTTATCGCACATAGATTCTAAACTGAAGAACATTGATTAGCGTAATCCCGCTCCTGCAAGCTGGATAGCCCGTCCCTGGTTGCGGGGTTTCGAGCCTACAGTTGGATGTCGAAGACAATCACGGAATTAGGTGTCGTAACTCAATTTTGACTACAGTTTTTTTCCACTCCCGTGACTGCTTCATTCACGGAGAAAATTG